CACACACACACACACACACACACACACACACACACACACACACACACACACACACACACACACACACACACACACACCTGTCCAGCACGGACTTTAGTAACCTTTCCAACCGGGTCACTTTTACTTTTCAAACCTGTAATTGACAGTCTGATTAGGTCTTCTGCTGCCTGAGGCCTCAGCTAAAGGGGGGCCTTAATGCCTTGTTTACACCTTCCACAGTGCTCACTGCCTCGTAAATCTTGCTTAAATAATAAAAACGAGTCCAAAATAGGACTTATAACAGACATTTAAACGTAAAAAAAAAAAGTACACCTGCCCAAACAAAAGASAGAGTGCAATAAAGCTAGGTTAGTCTAAGCAGATTGTCATTGATAATGTCCATGGCTTGAATTTGGATCAATTAGGATCTGGCAGATGTGCAGAATCATGGCTGACCCCCTCGGGCTTAAAGAATACAATCCAATTTTCGTCAACAAATGTAATACCATTAGGCTGGATAAAAACCGGCAACTCACAAGGGAGGAGTCTTTTAAAAAGCAGAGTGGTGGATGGGACTCAGGAAGACTCAGCAGCTGTTCAGAGGACAGAGGAAATACCCATAAGTACTTTATACCTTATACCAGATGAACTGATGATGCTGAAGGAGCAGTGCTACCTTTCTAAAAAAAATCACAAAAACATGAGAGCCTGAGAGGATAGAGAACAAGACAAGAMGACCGTTCCTCACTTGACATGGAGTTGACTGTGGCCTAAAACCAAACAAAACCCAGGTTTAAAAGAAACAGCTACAACTTTGCTAACTCGTGTCATGAGGATCTTCAAAAAGGACGTCCGCCTTCAGGACGTCACCATCATGTATTTCACTGCCCTGGCTGCTCTGACCGTCATCCTGGTGGCGTCGTACCAAGCGCCCCCCCACGCCGTCGATGTGTCCAGCCTTAAACCCAGCCCCTCCAGCCCTCTGCCGCCTCTCCCCATGCCTTTCCGTGTGCCCCTTGACCCTCGCGGGGAGCTCCAGCTGGCCTGGAACATCAGCTACGCCCATCAGGAGGTTTACATGAAGCTGAGGATCGCAGAGCTCAGGCACGGGGTCGTCTTGGGGATGTCGGACCGCGGGGAGCTGACTAATGCTGACCTGGTTGTGCTGTGGGACTCCGGAAAAAAGAGCTACTTTGGGGTAAGCAAGCTTGTCGAGGTCTCAAAAATGTGACCCATCGCATGGAAATGAGAATTAAGTCAAATTTGGTCAAAATGACCTGATCACATTTTCTGATTCCTGCTTTAAAAGCTACTTTTTGATACCTGCACCATTCTGATATCATCAGCAGAGCCAGAGATATGACTAAATTTGTCTTTTTGGTTACGATGATACATTAATATTTGGTCTMATTCCTAATTTTATGTCATTTTAATGAGGAATTTTTCATGTCATAAAGAGGAAACCTCAAATAGTTGAATATTAAGATTTCCCAGCAGGGAAGAAACAAAAACTTTTCTAGCTTGCAAGGAAAATCTAAAAATTTTAAGGCGTTTTACCTCAAAATCTGTTTGAATTTTTGCTACTGTTCAAAAATGCTCCTCAAAAAAAATTTTAGGATCATATTTCAGTCAGTTCATTCAAATGATACATTAATAAGGAATTCATTACATTTTGACAAAATGCATTTTTTGCAAAAGTTTTAATCAAAACCCTGTTTCTACACATCCCACTCTTAAACATAATCCATGTTTTAATATAATGGGTCACAAATATCCAAAGAGAAGCTAGGAAACTGTTTTGTCTCAGGTAAACTTTATTCTTTTCTAAAGAATATAAGCTCAAGGATTCAGTTAAAGGTCTTTAGGAGAGGGGTGGTCCCACCGTTTTCTGCCTGCCTGTGATTGTTGGGTTTTGCACCAACAGCCTGGGGACGGTTTTTGCTYCATGATCACAGAGTCACTAAAAGATGCTATCAGGCCTTGCTAATTGGAAATCAGCCAAACTGCACTAATAGCTGAGGCTCTACTGGGAATCATTAGCAGATATTTGCATATCAAAGCGAATCCTGCGCTAATTGAGACGTGCAAATTGCATCATTTTCTGTCTGCCACACAAAACACTGTAAAATTTTTCTCAAATTTTCCCCATATTTTTCCCCCTTATTGACATATTCCATGTAGACTAATGTGAAAAGAAAGAAATGAATATTTTTCATTTTGCATTTTGTTCTTGAAAATATATTTTATTCATTGCCCACCACCATAAAAGGCAGGAAATCATGTCTGTATTTGAGTGTGTGTACAAAATATCTCATAACTCAATGGATGAATTACCAAAACCAATAAAGTAATCCTTCGATGTACATCTAAAACTCATTAACATTTAGAGTCAACCCACTTCAACATGGCTGCTACATCTAATCAATCCTGGTCAACATAAAATGCCTCTTACTTACTTAATAATGACTCATTTTTGTTTCTGACTTTGGCACTGAACTCAAGAGTGAYGGAGTGCAAATTTGGGTCTTGGTTTCTTATCTAAGAATTGATTATAATTTAATTTATTTAATTATCTGAAAATTGGGATTAAAAACTGCAAACTTTAGACTAAAAATATATTGTAATGCTAAAACTGCAGCTGCCGAATAAACTCAAGCATCGTTGATTATTAAACCGAAAGTTATTTCATGAAAATTTTTTTATTTTCGCTTCAACATAAAGTAAAACCAGACACAACTACAGCAGGAAAACATTTCATCACTTTCTCATTTCTTATGCTCGGAATGTTCGATTGAGAAACAAAAGCTAAAAAAACTTACGGTAGATGGAATTAATCTAACATTTAAACAATCCTAAAGTTTTATGATGTATTTAGATGAAGTTTTAGCACCGTTCTACAGACCCAGTTTTAAACTAAATTACACATAAATTAAAATAATGATAATTTGTTGAATTTTGAGAATGGGAAAAATTCAGAACTCCATTACTAACGTAAGCTGTGACCCCCGAGAATGACTTGTTCTGCAATGTCAAACTTGTTTTACTGACGATTTTAAATATAAATGTGTTTTCCCTGACAGCATGGTCCCYGACATATTATTAAGTTAAACTCAGACCACAATATGTCAGACAAGCTGATGTCAAGTCTTTTCTTGTTAAATTGATCGCTTCCAGTCTGGCTTTCTTCTGTCTGTCATCAATTTTTCTTCCCTCAAGAGGACAAATTTACCAGCAGATAAAAGGTCACTGCTGTGCTGCAGTCANTGTGAAGCACTTTGTGGCTACTTAACTGTGAAAAGTACTATAAAAATAAAGTTTACTTACTTATCAGTAGGATCTGTGATATCAGCCTGGTTAAACAGAGTTAATGACACAATACATTTTTTGCAGGGGAACTATTAACTATCATTCTCTTTATTTTTATAACGAATGTTATCTTTTCCAGTAGCTTGATGCAGTTTCTGCTCTGCTAAAGAGTCAAAAATAGTTTGCTTTTACAAACTCAAATCAGTGTTACTTTTACCCACAGTAGTTCCTGAAAGTATCATAAAATAATGTTTTTTAATGTAGTTGAATACAACTAAGAATAAATGGGAGTAAATGGTCTCTAAACTAAACCAGTCTTTGTCAGTTTCAATAGATTTGAGGAGGATATTTTAAAATAAGTTTCAATAATATCTAAGCAAACCTCAGTCAGAGATTGTTTTCTTAACACACATTGTACAGAAAGTATCGACCGCACATTTTATTGGGTTCGCACACGCTTGGACGTAGCTTGAAAATCGATGGCTTCAAAGCCTGTGCAGTTCGTGTGGTACGGTTACGTAAGAGTAAAGCGGGAAACAAAGAGAAAGCTCTTCGATGTTATTCTGGACAGGTAGGAATGTGAGAAAGAGCCGAGACGGAGAGGCTGAGCTGTTRCAAAGCCTTCTGGCAGAGAAGGAGAACATCTTGTACACCAGGTTGGGAAGGTTTCACAACACCAGCTGCCTCAGTTTTTGCTTAATTCCCTCTCTAACGTGCTTCTTAATTCTCTGTCAAACGGCTCACTGCAGCCGAGGTTGTGTGGGTTTGAAAACTGACAGCTATTGGAGACAATTATTTTTCTCTGTGAAAAAAAAGAAATTATCTGTGAAAAAACATAAGATTTTTTTCTTAATAATCAGCTTAAGTCTTAATTTCTCTCTGTCCTTATACTTGGTCAGTAACGTGACAATTTTGCCCTTTTTTTTCTCTAAACTGCCTCCTCCGCCTCTCTTTCTAAACAAAATTGGACTCCATACTGTTTAGTTCACTTTTGATGCATTTATATCTATTATTGTTTGTAATCCTTGTGAATCCCTGTCTGGTGTTACAGTTTGTGCTGTCTCCTTCAGGATGCGTGGAGTGACAGCGAGGGCCATGTATCGTTGGACAGCCAACAGGACTACGAGCTGATTGAGGCCAAACAGAAATCTGATGGCTTTTACCTGCTCTTCAAAAGACCCTTTAACACCTGCGATCCTAAAGACTACCTCATAGAGGTGGGAACAGTTCTTCTGTTTTGTGTGTCATGAATTAAATCTAGTTGCTCAGAAATGCTCTGTATGTTTCACAGTAAAATCCTGTCAGCTGGGTAACCAGTTAGTCAAGGTGAAGAATGGTTTTAAACAGAGGACTATAAAGTACTTGAAAAAAAAACRACTACATAAAAGTAAAATTACATGAACAGAAAATGCATTTGGTAAAAATAAATTTCACTGATGAGAAAAAGTAAAAGTCATAAAACTGTTCACAAAAATTGGGAAAGTAAAAGTACTTTTACACAACTTTCTAAGAAATAAACTGTTAAATTTACTGAACCAAACTGGTTCCACTAAGCCAGGTTTAGTAAATTGAGCCGTATATGTATATTATTTGCTCAATTTACTCAACTAGGCTTAGTGGAGCCAGTTGACATGACTTTGTTGAGTAAATTCAACACTTCATATTTTAGAGTGCATAAACAACTTCTTTCATGATGAGTTCAAATATATTTAATTTTGTAATGAGTAACTAGGTGTTACATTTTAAAGTAAAGAAGTAAAAGTATCATTT